AATTCTAGTAAAAAAAACTTTATATCACTTGAATTTAAAGAAACCGTCTTTTATCAGACTTTTGTTCACTTTTCTATCTGCAGCTGGCTGCAATCTTTCTCGAGGCGTGGTATTATCTAGTATTAAGGCATTTTAGTCATCCGTGTATAACAAAACATACACAAACCTTTCCTTGCTTTAGTTGCAGTTATACCTGTGACGTGATGTAGACAAGGTAATTGAAGAGAACCTGCATCTCGATCAATGATCTACCCGGACTCCGATTTCCACCTACACTGCGATGAAAGCTGATTGAAGTAGTATAGGGCCCATCGAATAGGCCATTTTCTGGGCTGTGTTAGCTCTCATAAAAGTGCACAGGAATACATAATTATCAACGACTTTATGTCTAGGAATCTCTTTCCTCATGTTATATTTTTTGTTGTGGCTGGTTTCAACGGTTTCACTTGTACGAGTTATTTAGATCAACGATGACTGAATTTAAGAAAAATGTTAACTATTCGTTTGGTTTTCCATAAGCTGCTTGGTTGGTTATCGATCGTAAATCGGTGTATGTGACAAAAATCAATAAACGTACAAACGTAATTATGTAAGTGTTATGTTTCCTGCCACATTTTATCATTTTAATGTTCATGATTTCAGGTCTTTTTGTACTTCAGTAGGATAAAGGCGAACTAATTTTTTTTTACTAAGCACAATACATTTTTTAGGCACTTGAATATCACTCATCTTTTAATTGTCTTAAGAGAGAAGTTCTTACACAGATGGTGTCTGTGAGCTACCGAGGAAAAATCAATTATTTGGAGACCCTAGCCGTTTGTTTCTTTTGTTTTTTTCTTTCGAAAAAAAGACGATTATGGCATTTAGGGCATAAACGAAGGAACTGTTTTGCGGAATGCCCATTAGGACTGAGATTGGTCCAGTCACCTAAAATTGATTTTCCATATTTTGATTGAAGGCATGCCTTTTGGATCAGATTGTAAGGCTTTTAAATAGCGCAGTGAATATATAAATAGTAGCCCTTTTTTAAGAAATTAAATTTCTTTTGAATCGCTTTGAATGAAAGCTTTAAAATTATGATGAAAATTGTCATCAAAAGATTAAAACTTTTGCTTAGAACTGACGTAAAAGTTGCGTTTCAATACCTTCCTTAACTCCTTCGCGGCACTGAAAATGGAAGAGGAGTGTTAACGCAAGCAAGAACCATGATGTGCGCAAGATTTCAAAAATTCCATCGCGATTAAAAAAAAACCACAATATCGACGTTTTAATGTTTATTTAACATGAAAAGGCATCTTCATACCTTCATAGTCACATGCTTGATATATTAAGGGTTTTAAGCTGACCTGGTTGAAATGAAATGTCATTAAAAAAGGCACCTTATTTTTATCCCTTTTCCTCTTAAGATTACTTTAATAACTAATGCGCAACAAAGTTTAAGCGACATGAAAAAAAAAAAAAAAAACACGTAATGGTCTCCAACTTGCTACTGGGACGGAGGAACTTCTTCAATGATCAAACGAGACACTGAATTCCAGCCTGTTTGACCATTGGAGTTCCCATACCCTTTACAATTTCCAATGTTGATTCCAACTCGGATTTTGCCCTTGTGTATGTTGTTACAGTAGCCCTCGATAAACCCGGGTCTGTGGTTGTTTTCCCCAGTATTTCCGATCCACAGCACTGCGTCAATAGGCAGGGGACCACTGCACTCGGCGCCGTTAAAAGTGATGAACCATCGCTTGCAGCAGCCGCCACACCCTGACAAATAGAGGTTTCCCTGGTAAACAACACGGAGAGCAGTGTCATCCTTGGTTTTATTGAAGGAACAATCCTGCAACAAAACATCAAAACCCCATTATTGGTTTTCTTGTTTACTTAAACGACCTTTTTCACCCCGTAAGGATACCATTGGACAAGAATATACCATCCTTTGTAAATGCACATTCTTAGTATCTAACAAAACCAAAGTTGACTGGAGCCGTTGATGGCGCTGATTTTAAAATCATCTTACCTTGATCAGTCCAATATCACTGGTGTCGTCGTTGTTCCACGCGCATTGCTTCCAGTTCCTGGGATCAGTGTCTGTTCCACTTGGTCCCATTTCTCCCTTCTCACCACGTGATCCAGGGGGACCTGCCACGCCCCTGTCACCTTTAGCTCCATCTCGTCCGTCGCGGCCTGGTAACCCATTATGCCCATTGACTCCGTTACGTCCGGGGAGGCCAGGTGATCCTTGTAAACAGGTTCTAGAGTTCTGTTCACATCAGTTTTAATAAAGGAATTAGAAATTTAAAAAGCTTGCCAATTTAGTCAAACCATACTGAATCCGCTTTCTCAGGAAGGACTATCATTTTTATACTTTTGCCCTGAATGATCCCGAAAACTTAAAAAAAAAAAACAAAAAAAAAAAACTGAGATGTGCACACATTTAAGGCATCCTACTCATGAAAAGTTAAGCCTTTTTGATATTTCGAGCAACAATAACTTGCCAGTTGTCCCCTTAAAACACATAATCGATCATGAGCCTTATTTACAATGTTGTCGAAGTTATCATAGTCCCGCAATCGAATCACTCGAAGGGTTCATCTTCAATAAACTCCTTCGTGGAGGCTAGTGATCGTGGATCGTGAGAAGATCGTGCTTTGCGCTCGTAGCACTAGCGCTCGCGAATCTGTTCATGATCAAGAGAAAAATTACAGCGGAAGACTTATCTTTATCTCTATCTACGTATGTTGGAACATGAAAAAATTAAAGTGGGGCAAACATTTTTGGTTAATCTGATAAATAAACAATGATTCACATCATATCTTAAAAAAGGAAAGAAGCACTATTTCTTTCGACTCCATACAACTCAGGCTCTCTATACTCCGCTGAAACAGTGGGAAATTTGTACAGTTTAATGCAAATGTATAATTCAGTCGAATTTTTCTCAATTACTATTTTACTAGTCCCACTGAGTCAATCTTACCTTGGCGATAGAGGATGTGTTATCAGTTGATCACTTGGAAGATATCAACAGATAGAATAGAAAGCATCCCACAACACCTCTTACTTCCATTTGGAAGTTATAAGAGAGACGAAAGAGAAGTGGAAACTGGGAAAAGAGACCTCAAACTCTAACACAAGTCTTGGGGTTCTGTGTTGAGTGCAGTGGAAGATGAGAACATAAATTCAATGTTTGTATCGATCGATCTCCACGAAAGCTACGTGTTGTGAAGAGAAACACGTACGGTAACTTGATCACAGCTTAATCTCTTAATCTTCCTTAAACCGAGGTGGAAGAGGCCGAGTTATTATAACACCATGCGCGTGGCTCAAAAGTTTGACTTAAGCTGAGCTGACGCACGTTGATAGCCAACGCACGTTTTCAGGAAAGAGAATGATGGATTACTGACTAAAACGCTAAAGTTAACATCTGGTATTTTTTTGGCCGACCTACTGTATTCAGTAATCTACTATGACATCATCCACCAAAAGAGCGGAAGAACTGTGTTTTTATTGGCAACAGTGTTTAATTTGGGTATTTTGATCGTTTTTGTTGGCGATAAAACCTTACACGCAATATTCCAACCATTTTCTTACATGTCTAGCGAATCAGGTGTTGGTTAACTAGCTCGTAGTTTAACGTGATTTGTTGCCTACGTGCACGTGGAAGGCATTAGGAGGGAAGGGAACTGTGGGAATTGATGCGCGCAGGTACATAAAGAGCGTCCCTTTTCCTCGGGCGCCTTTCTTCTCATTTCCCCCTTCAGAAGCCTCGCAGTTTACGTGATCAGGACATCGAGCAGTTGGAGAGTATAAGAACTCCTGTTATTGAAAACAGTGTGTGCCTTATCTCGTACTCAGGTCTCACTCTGTCTTATGCTGAAAGACCCGGGTACGAGATTAGTTTTCGCCTTTTTTACAAATTAAAATGGGAAAATAGCCCCTTAACGAATTTCAGTTGGTGGAAAAATGGGCAGAAATCATATATCAATGCAATTCATCAATACCCTGCACTACGCGATTGGATGAACCAGGACTGTTAATACAACACATTCGTTATAAATAATGGAAATTAATTACAAGGCCGATTGAAGAGTATATTAAAGACCGTTCCTGTACTTCTCCAGAAACCATGTGAAATTAGTAGCCTCAGTTATCGAGAAAGAGGGGGGGGGGGAGGGTTAAAAAAAAACCAAGGGCTTGCTTTTGGTTAACCAACTTTGAAGAAAACCAAAGGTCAAGTTACAGTTTTTAAAATAATTACTATGAAATTTTCCTGGTATTTAGTCATGACCAGACGATCTTTCACGATAAATACGCAGTGTTTTAATGTTTTCACTTTGTTTAGTAAAAGGCAAGTATGAGTTCAGTCGACCGGTTTGCAGTTTATGTCCAAGGCCTTACCTCGCAACCTTTTCGCAGTATCTCAAGGAGTTTATATATCCATTTATACGCGTGCTCTGATTATCTGAGAGGCGTGTCTGCATGAGAGTCCGTCGCGGGTTTGCATCACCCTTTTGGTGTTTATATCAGGCTATGCGATCACGCATAACTTAAACCATTAACCGATTAAATGCTAATTATGTTTCTCATGCAAGGTAATCCTATACACCCTTGCCTACAACCCCATGACACTTACATATACACTAGGCCGACCAACTGACAGAGCTTGTTGCATCCCTTGGGGTTCTTTAACGTACCACAAGAGTCGTAGTTCTCAAGAGTCAAGTTCTGTGAGAAGGAGCGTGGTTAAAGAAGGGCGCATATTTAATAACCTTAAGGATGAGTACATATTTGATCACCCTGAGGATGGATGGAGCTTAAACTTGAGGATTGGCTGGTTCTACAAAAATAACAGTTTCATTCACCAGTAGTCACGTGCTGAGTTTAGTGTAGCATTTAAACTGAACTGCTTTACATGCAAATGTCATAAAAGCCCTTAATTCTTAGTTCTTTTCCACTTTGAAATCACTTATCTGCAGAATCTTTAAGCGTCATAACTTGCCAACTTGTTACTGGGACCGAGGGACTTCTTCAATGATCAAACAGGACACTGAATTCCAGCCTGTGTTACCATCAGAATTTCCATATCCTGCACAATTTCCAATGTTGATTCCAACGCGGATTTTGCCCTTGTGTATGTTGTTACAGTAGCCCTCAATGAACCCGGGTCTGTGGTTGTCTTCGTCCTTATTTCGGATCCACAGCACTACGTCAATAGGCAGGGGACCACTGCACTCGGCTCCATTGAAAGTGATGAACCATCGCTTGCAGCAGTTGTTACAACCTCCCACGTTTACTTTTCCCTGGTAAACAACACGGAGAGCAGTGTCATCATTGGTTTTAGTAAACTGACAATCCTGCAGCAATAGAAACAACGATTATTTCTATGTCTGTTCAAAAGAGAACAGACTTCGAAATAGATGTATGTGCTATCCTTGGTAGACACGCAAACTAGGGATTTGTCTAAAGGAACCACATGACACAGTAACGGAAAAAAAAACAAGTACACTTAGTGTTAAATGTTCTTTTCGCCCAGAGGGCTTTTAAAAGCATTGATCCTGTGAAATCAACAAACCTTGATCAGTCCAATATCACGACTATCGCTACTCCTCCATGCGCACTGTTTCCAGTCACAGTGATCGGTGTCTGTTCTACTTGATCCCCTTTCTCCCTTCTCACCAGGGGGCCCTGTCACGCCCTTTTCACCTTTCGCCCCATCTTGGCCGTCGCGGCCTGGTAACCCATTATGTCTCCGTTACGTTTAGGGGCTCTTTGCAAACACTTGTTTGAGTTCTGTGTTATATGAGTTTGAAGAAATTAGAGGAGAAACCACTGCGTTGTAACTAAAGGTTTTAAAATAATAAGATAAACTGAATTTGCTCTCAGTAAGAATGGTTTTTATTTTATTTTTTACTCACGAAAAACAGTCGAAAATAAACTAATTGATGATGATCATTGATCATGCATGTGACATGAAATTGACCAAGCCTTATGAAGATCCTCGATGGGTGCACGTTAATAAACCTTTTGGCTTATGCTTTATAACCAGCGAGTGAGCTCTACGCACGTAACAAAGGCGACAGTTGTAATTCAAAACTACGTACGTTTTCTGGCTTAGAAACAAATCTATTCAAAATCGAGAGAAATTAAAATCCAAGACTTGGATTTTTATTATTGGAGTTTATCACTAGCTTTCTGGCAGTACTTTATGTTGTTATCCAATTCATCTTATATTTCAACAATGAACATGAAGCCAGCTTCGGAAAATTTGCCTGCTGCTTGGCTCTTGTCATAAGTCATTACTAACATTGAATATCAGTCATGTAACTTGACTGAGTATCGTGATCATGATTCAAATAAAGCATTTCCCGTACTCAAACGTATGAAAAAACACAATACCCTTTGAGCACCTATCATGCTGCTGAGCTTGATTTGCGAAAAATTATGGACTGATCAGGTAATATTTCAGTTATACCCCGCTCGCACAAACTCGTTTCAAATTCCATCTAAGGGTTGTCCCAACCTCGTTCCCAGACTTCTCTCCAACTCGTCCCACGGAGCAGGGACGAGTAAAGGTTGATTTCCACTGACGCGTTTTTGGCTGCGCACGTTAACGCACGTTGATTTTAATCACGTAAAAAAAGGGCCAACATGTAAAGTGTTGAGATTAAATGTGAAGTTGAGCGAGGTTTTACTTTTACGCTTACGAGCGACCTTTCATACACTGCCTCTATTTTATTTGCGAACGTAAAATTTACGCACCTACGCACGTAAAAACTACGCGACAGTGGAAATCAACCCTAAGGCAAACAAGATTTTTTCTCAGGAAGCGTTATACTGCGCGTTACTAAAACTAGCTAACCACGAATAGTCTGCGGGCTCCTCTTGCCGCCCGCAGCTAATATATACTAGATTTATGTGAGACAAAAACTTGGTCGAAACATAAGCGATTATTTTCCTCGTTTTCTAAGGGTGAGTGCTTTTGGGATGATCCGGATGAGTATTAGTGATCCGAAACCACTCGGATCATGGTTTCCTCGGTTCCCGTGATGCATCTTCATTCGAGTGATCTCGGATCTCTGATCCTGATCCGGATCAAACCGTCCGTAATAGATATTCAACCGTTTGTCTTACTGGCTTTGTTTAGTGCACAAAACAAATACAGTAGATCCCCGCTAACTCAAACTCGAATAACTCAAACTCCCGGCTAACTCGAACTATATCCAATCTCCCTTGGATTTAACCCCACTTTTCCGTCAGTCATTTTTACTCGGTTAAATCGAACTCGAATAACTCGAATTCCCTTTAACTTTAATTTCCTTTCCCCTGATCAATAATTCACTAAAGTTTACCCCGATAACTCGAATTGTGGTTTCTTGTAACTCCGCTCGGATGTCATAATCCATTGATTCTTCTTGTTGTATGGGGGTAAAAACATTTAAACTAACCTTTGTCTGTAACAGCAGTTTGATTTTCATTGGTGCAACGAACAGTTCACTTTTTATCACTAAAAATGGTTAATCTTTCTACTGTTTCTGGTGATATAAGTTAGATTTGCACCACACTATACACTGAAGAGCTAAAAAACCAGTAACTATTAATTTTAAGACGGCAAATTGAATTTTTCAATCGACCCCGATAACTCGAACCCTCGCTAACTCGAACAGTTTTCCGTTTCCCTTCAGAGTTCAAGTTAGCGGGGTTTCTACCGTAGCGTATTTTAAGAGATGATATGTATTAAGAACTTTGCAGTTTTCAAAATTCTGTTGCCTAGGGCTGGACAAAATTTTTTCTAACGTCGCCAATAAATAAATTGTAAACGCGACCTGGGCGCGTCGAAGCAGTGGAGGATGACTGAAAGCGCTAGGAAGTCCCTGAGTCTTCTAATGAAAATTAGCAGATTAAGGTACTTTGACTGATCTTTGTTCTTTGCAGGAGAATGCTTTTTCATGATACAGTGGCGTTTCCCAATATAAAAATTGGTAATTGAAGACAAATTTTTGCGACGATTTTCAGAAGAGGCAAATGCCTCTCATTTGCGGAAGCGCAAGCCCTTTCACACTTGAATTGAAAAGGATGCCCTTGACTACAAAATGCAAAAAAAGGTGAAGATCTTGTAAGTATAAGAGGTGTACTGTGAAGCGGTGACACAATCTTTCAAGAATTCATTCAGTACAAAACCAGAAATTCAGCATAAAGAGGCATGTCGATATCTATACAATTAACGTGCTTATCAGGTTATTGCGGGTTTTAAACTGACTTGTTTTACATGCAAACGTTTTCAAAACTACCCTATATCTTAGCCCTTTTATTGTTTAGCTCAATTCAAATACTAATCAACAGATTTTGTCAGCAATATTACTAACTATCGTGGTTTTTAGCGTGTCACTGGGAACGAGGGACTTCTTCAATGATCAAACGGGACACTGAATTCCAGCCTGTATAGCCATTGGAGTTTCCATATCCTGCACAATTTCCAATATTGATTCCAACTCGGATTTTGCCCTTGTGTATGTTGTTACAGTAGCCCTCAATGAACCCGGGTCTGTGGTTGTCTTCGTCTTTATTTCGGATCCACAACGCTGCGTCAATAGGCAGGGGACCACTGCACTCCTCTCCGTTGAAAGTGATGAACCATCGCTTACAGCAGTTAGCACACCCTCCCACATAGACGTTACCCTGGTAAACAACACGGAGGGCAGTATCATCCTTGGTTTTAGTGAACTGACAATCCTGCAAGAACAGGAACACCGATTATTTCCATGTCTGTTTAAAAGACCTTTTTTCGCCTATGTAAAAATACCACTGGATAATAAGTCGTATGAGGATATATGTCATCATTGGGAGATACACTAGCTAATGATAAATCTAAACGAACCACAGACAGCAAAAATCAACCAACCTTAATCAGTCCAATATCACGACCATCATTAGTCTTCCACGCGCACTGTTTCCAGTTCTGTGATCAGTATCTGTTCCACTTGGTCCCATTTCTCCCTTCATACCACGTGATCCAGAGGGACCTGCCACGCCATTTTCTCCTTTTGCACCATCTCGGCCGTCGCGGCCTGGTAACCCATTATATCCATTTACTCCGTTACGTCCAGGGAGGCCAGGCGATCCTTGCAAGCAAGTGTTTGAATTCTATGTCAATAGTTAAAGGAAATCAGCGGATAAAACAATTTTGCTTAAAAATGGTAGTAAAAATAATATACGAGAAGTTCAAGGACTACTGCAAAGCTTATACAACGTGCTCATGTATTTCAAAAAGTTATTCCTGCTAATAGACCTTTTTACCGGTACGGCGGCCATATTGAATTAATTCGATTTAAGGAGTATTATAGGATGCCCAGGGGGCATGAGCACATTTCGTTTGTATTTTTGAGCGCTTTTCGGGACATTTTTTCTTAAAGTTTTCTTAGAATAAGATTGTAATGGGAAAAAATATCCTTGTGCCGTGTTTGGATGTAATAATGATCGCCTTTTCCTAGTTTAGTATTAGAAATATTGTCTTGACTGTATATAGTCTCGGGAAAAAGGCGATCATTATTACATCCAAACACGGCACAAGGATCTTTTTTCCCATTACAATCTTATTCTAAGAAAACTTTACTAACAAATGTCCCGAAGAGCGCTCAAAAATACAAACGAAATGTGCTCATGCCCCCTGGGCATCCTATAATACTACTTAAATCGAATTGTTTCAATATGGCCGCCGTATCGGTAAAAAGGTCTATTAAACCAGTTTTCTTCAGGTCGGGGATGTTACTTTATTCAAGTTAAGCTGATCTCTACTGAGATTCAACAATGACCACTAGTAGGATCTTTGTCCAGGATTTTTTGCAGTTTATTAGAAGTTTGAGTTCAAGTTCAAGTTCAGTTTATTCACAGTTATTCAAAACAAAGTACATAAATAGAATAAGAATAGAAACTAAAAAAGGGGGAAAATCAGAGCTAGTATACATGTTGCAATAAATATTGCATTGGAAAAGTGTGTTTGGACAAAGGAGCAAAGCTTTCGGGTTGGCCACAACCATGGTGCAGTTACTAATGGAAGGCGGTTTCATTTGCAAAAACTCTTTACAGAGCTCGTACGTGGAGCTCCCGTAGACACTGGCTTCCGCCATTGCATATTCTAATACGTCTGACTGAGGAAAGATGGTTTTAGGCTGCATTTTATACAATCTCTTTATAGCTGATTTTAAGTTATTTTCATTTAAAAGAAGGGTTTAAGGCTGCATTTCCGTGGCTAGTAGAGGCGAATGTAGAGACCAGTTGACATGTATGGTCATTTATAGGTCTTCACTGTATAATTAGTTCAGTTTTTAGTCATATGCTAATTACTTGGTTTTTATTTAATCAATTGGCTATATTTTAATTATTCGTTAAATAATTAGTCGAGGTATTTTATTAAAATCTATACTTCACTTATTGTTCACTAATAAAAATTATTGGAAATACTAAAATTCATGATTGTCGTTGATCTCACACGGGACACATGCAGAATCAATCACCAGCCTTGCTATTAAATTTCTTTATAATTCTCTTTAGGAAACGGGCTGTGATAACGCGAGGGTCACGCGTTTAATACACCCTATCGTAGACAGGCTCCGATGGTAGATGTTCATTCGCGCAGCCCGATCGTCAGATGTACTTTAAAACTACAGTACTTTTTGTAAATATCTACATTAACGAATCTATTCGCTGTTAAGAGAAATTAAAGAACAAGACTTAAGCATTTATTAGAATAAATAGAGCTAATTACCACAGCCTGGCAATATTTAATTTGTTGTTATCTAATATTTAAGTAAAAACATGAAGACTGCTGCTTAAAGACTTCGAAGACTTTAACTGTGTTTACTCTGCTTAAACTTTTGGCTGCAAAATTCAACAACTTAAAATCATTTCTGCGTGGTTCACTTTGAATTCTTGGACATTCTTACCTTAGCGAGAGAGGAGGAGGCGTTATCAATTACGCATTGCGATGCTACCAACAGGTAAAATAGGAAGAAAATAAGAACACTTCTTCCTTTCATGTTGAGGTCAAAAGAGAAGTCACCAAATTACTAGTTGCGAACAGAGAAAAAAACAGTTATACAACTCCAACAGTTGCGCGTATGAGGGCAGCGAAAGAAGAGGATAAAAGCTCACTGTTAATTTAAAATTGAGGGAATTTATATGATTATAAAAATACCCATAAAGGAAGGGACGGACAACTGGCCACGCGACGTTTACTGTTTTTTGACACTGGGTGAAAAATTGGATTTAAACAGCTGTGCAACCGAAGTAAATTGGATGCAAATTAAAGGCCTTAAATTTGACCTAATCAGGAGAAATTTTGAAGGTGTAAGGTATTTGTTCGTTGATTTACGCGAAACGGCGACGTAAATTTGACATCTTCTTTACATTTGCCTTTTTTGACACCTCTTAATTAAACAACTTTGACATACCTTTACGCCAGATTTGTTCTCTATGCAAAAATATCACGTTTGCTTTTTCCCATGAATTTGTAGAAAAACATGGTACAAGTCCATTTGTTTTCACTATTGTTAACCACAACGTTTACCATTGATAGCTTTAAAGAAATCATTTGTATGTGCTTTAGTCATAATTTGCAATGGAGGCAAAAAATATGCTTGAAAATATTTATTTTCTCTCCTCACGATGTTTTGTGAATTTTTGGGGGATATTTATAAGGTGGAAGGCGCTTCGCACTGCTACAGTATTTTTTTTCTTTGGAAATCTTCTTTAATGGTCGGAACAACAACTTTCCTTGCTGTTCCTCTTTTTCTACGTCATATTGAGCTAGTGTAGCATCTGTTCTATCAGATCACTCTACCTCACTACATTCAAGCCTCGACGGGTTTATCTCTCTGAAGAGTGACCATAAGCATGCGCATTTGACATTTATACCTAATTCCAATAACTCAGTCTTGGAAAAGTGAAGAAAGGAAAAAGCCAAATAGGAACTAGTAGGCTATTAAATTAAGCCACATTCTCAGGGTGGATTCATTTGCAGCCGTTGCATTTCCCCGCTGGGTTTTTTTATTGTTTTCAGCTTTAAAACAAAAGCAAATTCCAGCAGGCAAATACGACGTCCATATGCGGATTCTGCAAATGAATTCATTAGGCTTATTAGCCTAATCAATTTCTATTTGGCCTTTTCCTCTTTTTATTTTTCTGCGACATCGTGTTTGTAATTGGGTGTGTACCTAGCCAGCGCAGCATTCAGAGTTTGTGCACGCAGTGCTAACTTCTTTGACAGACATTCTAGCACCCCTCGAACAAAGTTGGCTTTTTCTAGTCTTGTGTTCCTAGTTTGGTAGGAGAGGCCCACCGTAGGTTTTCCTGCAGTATTAGTTCAGCCTGCGATTAATTCTGTTGCGATCTTTGTGTGTTGTACAACAGTGCTTGCACTTCCACAAATTTATTCTAAGTATGCAGCATATTTGCATGATTAGTTTCGTGTACAAAGCTTTATAAGTTTCAATAAAATTGAATTCTGATACAAAAACTCTATATCCTTTTGTTCACTTTTCTTTCTGAAACTCGCTGCATTAATCTTTTTCAAACGTGAGAAAATATCTGTGCTCTTAAGTGACTCACCACCGTTCTCATTATTAAGGCATTTTTCATTTTGTGTGTGACAAAACATATGCACAAACGTTTCCATGATATGGTTGCAGTTATGCCTATGACATGGTGTAGAAAAGGCAGATTGTAGAGAACTGATATCTCGATCAGTGATCTATCCGATTTATCCGGACTCCTGAGGAAACAGGCCGGTTGCCACCTACCTTGCGATGAGACGCGATGATACCTTATTTTAAAGTAGTATAGGGTCCACCGATTAAGCCAGTTTTTGGGTTGGGATCTCCTGAAGATTAAAAGGAATACATTATCACCGATGATGTTATGAATAGGCATCTCATTAAGACAGGTTGATTTCATATTCTATTCTTATGTTGTGGCTAGTATAAACGGTTCGACAGGTATTGAGTTGTTTAGATCAAGGATGTCATAGTTCTTCGTTGGCTTACCGAATTTAAGAACAGTGCTCTTTGGCTGGTTATCGATCGTAAATCGGTGTATGTGACAAATAATCAATAAAACGTACTAATTAATTCTGCAAGCCTTATTTACTGCCGCATTTATTGTGTTAATGTTCATGGTTTCACCGCCAAATGTTTGGGCTTAAATGAGGATGAAGGCAAACTAGTTCTTTTTTACCCCATACAATAATTTTTTTGTGGGCACTCTCGTTCACTCAGCTGTCTCAGGTTTTCTAGTTTTCTTCATGGGACACGGAAGGTTGTTATGTCAGTCAGCTCAGATGGCGTAATGGGTGTAAGAGCTACTTTTGAAAAATCAATTATTCTGGAGACCGTAGCCGTTTGTTTGTAAAGAAGGTTATTGCATAGTTTAGGGCTTAAACAAAGGGAACGGTTTTTGTGGAATGCCCATTTTAGGACAGACTCGGCCAGGCACCTCAAATTGAGTTGTAGTGCAAGATTTTAAAGTCCATCGCGAGCAAATAGTAGACTATATTGACGTTTTAATGTTTATTTAATATAAAAAGACATCTTCATACTATCATAATGACATGCTTGATATATAAGAAGTTTTAAAATGACCTGGTTTTCATGCAATGTTTTTAAGAAGCCCATATTTTACTTAAAATACTAATTCCCGCCATTTTTAAGCGACAATACAAAAAAAATCTCCAACTAGCTTGCTACTGGGAGCGAGGAACTTCTTCAATGATCAAACGGGAAAATGAATTCCAGCCTGTGTTACCATCAGAATTTCCATATCCTGCACAATTTCCAATATTGATTCCAACTCGGATTTTGCCCTTGTGTATGTTGTTACAGTAGCCCTCAATGAACCCAGGTCTGTGGTTGTCTTCGTCTTTATTTCGGATCCACAGCACTGCGTCAATAGGCAGGGGACCACTGCACTCCGCTCCATTGAAAGCAGTTAGCACACCCTCCCAAGTAGACGTTTCCCTGGTAAACAACCCGGAGGGCAGTGTCATCCTTAGTTTTAGTGAAATGACAATCCTGCAAGAACAAATTAAAACTCAATTATTGATTTACATGTCTGTTTAAAAGAATCTTTTTCATCCCGTAATGGTGCCAATGGACAGGAACCTTCCATCCTATTTATAATTATCATCTAACCAAACCAAAGTTGACTGTAGCCGTTCATCGCACTAATTTTAGAATCCACAAACCTTAATCAGTCCAATGTCACGCCCGTCGTAGTACCTCCACGCGCACTGTTTCCAGTTTCTGTGATCGGTGTCTGTTCCACTTGGTCCCCTTTCTCCCTTCTCACCACGTGAACCAGGAGGACCTACCACGCCCTTTTCACCTTTAGCTCCATCTCAGCCGTCGCGGCCTGGTAGCCCATTATGTCCATTAACTCCGTTACGTCCAGGAAGGCCAGGTGACCCTCGCAAGCAAGTGTTGGGGTTCTGTTTCATAGTAGAAATTGGTGGAGGAAACATTTTGTTGTGTTGATGGTCGTAAAATATAATAACTGAATTTGCTCTCAGCTGGAATCGTTATTATTTTATTTTGCCCTCCGGACTGCCATGGTAGAAAATAAACAAATTGATGATTATCATTGACCATACCAGGAGCCTATCAAATGGAGCCTCCATCTCCCATACAAGCCCTTGGAGTCAACCCTTTCCCGAGTAGATTTATAATTAGAACGGTTCCCAGTGGAGACTTCGCGCGCCGACGGTGGGAAGAGCCAATCACAACGACGAAATGACACTGCTATTGTACTTTATCAAACAGCAGGGAAATTCGTTGTTGACAGGCCAAACACAATCATAAGCTAGTGAAACGTGACTTTAGCGTTTTCATCCCTCAGAGATTTTCTTTATTTTTTCTTTCTAGCGGGTAGATTATACTGTGGAGAATTTTAAACTCTGACTATTTTAATCTTAATTTTGGTTGCTTGTCTCACATTAAGAGGCCATGAAGCTGGTCTGTT